AAAAAAACGTCGATAGACAAAATTTATTACTCGTACGTCAAAGGCCTCGGCCTCGATAGTAATTGAATCAAAGTCATCTAATAACGAACGGGCAATTGAATCTCCAGATCGTATCTGTACAATATTGCCAAGCTGAGCATGACAGTATTATCTACGCCGATGATATTTGCACGCACTTGTTGCATGCGTGCATTTTGCTTGTGGCGGTGCATGTACATAATATGGTAGTGCTTTCACTGCACTTCATATGCACTCCATGTCCCATACGAGCCTACCTATAACAAGATATTCGATAAACCCGTGCCCGTGCACGTGCCCGCGTTTATACGCTTTGGCGCCATGTGCGGAAGTTTCGGTTTTAAATGTTCATCGAGATTGTGTTTCCGCCTCGCGTCCAGCTTGTTTATTAACTTTTCCCTTCTTTCTCTCTCTCTCTCTCTCTCTCTCGAGTACCCAGGAATAAATATATAATGACCAACATTTTCGTTTCTTTTTTTTTCTTTTTTCTTTTTTTCTTTTTTTTCTTTTCATGAACAATTTAACATCGTTCGTCGGTGCGACCCCTTTTTTTTTTTTACCAACGAGTACTCGCTCGAATTAATGACGCAGGAGTGATTATGGAAATTAACAGCAATGCAATTTTTTACTTCCTTTATCTTGTTCTTTTCTCTCTCTCTCTCTCTCTCTCTCTCTTTAGCATTTTTGTATTAAATTGAAAAATCGTCGCGGAAAGTGAAGGAAAATCGACGAAAATGAACCTCTCGAAGTACTGATATAAGTACTTCTTAGGACTTATTTATATCGCAAGAACATAATAGTTAAACAATCACGTTTGATAAAGATAATGTTTGTAATCATAGTTATTTCTTTTTGAATTTATGGAGTTGATCAGTTTGATTCGCGGTCCAATATCTAAGAAGTTTTCATTAACTTTGATTTTTCAACATTTACCAACTAACTGAAATTCTTGTTTTTAGTTATAAGAATTATAAGAAGTTGTTTACCTGTTAAGTAAGGTCCCCTGTAGAACAATTGTTGCAACGTGTGATGCGCATTAGGGGGTAAATGACGCTGAGGCGGCTGATGGCTCGGCCTATGATAAGGATGATAAGCCGCCGGTCTGGCGATCGGTTTCGCGATGTTGTAACTCGCCGAATTTTGCAGATTTTGCAGGAAAGCCGGTATCGCTTCCGGCGGAAGTCCTTGAAAATTCTCTGCACAAGTACAAGACACATTTGACCGATTAAAAAAACATAAACTCGCCGCTCAGAAACGATTCAACATTCACTAACTTATTATGTTAATGTATGTGTGTGTGTTAAAGTATAAACATATTTCTCGAGCGGATAAATTTTGTTCAATTAACTCGAGATAAGGTGAGGGCAAATGGAGAAGCACGGTTTTTACAGATGAGTAACCGTGCGAAACGCCCAAGGTTCCGGATCTTCGCACGACGGAATGCTCAAGTCATTGTATTCCTTGCGATGCATAATCCGAGCTGACACCCCCAACTAAAACCCTCCTCAACAGCTCCAGGCTCTGAGCCCGACCTCTTGTTGACGCACGCTTCAACACCTCCGGTATAAATACTACGGATATTCGGTACGTGTGAATCGCTTTGATATATTTTACTTTCCACTCTTCTCGAAGAATCGGCATATCCTTGTTCCTTCAAATAAAAATTTCGTACAAAGAAATCAATCCGAAAAAAAGAGGAGACTGTACGAACCGCTAAAGTTCATCTGACAAAGATAAACAAGTAGTTGATAAATCTACCCTCGAGAAGAGGGAAAGAAAAAAAAAAGAGGGCAAAGAGAAACGTATGCCAATCATTTATGCGCGTCTAAGAGGGACGACAGTCCGACGTGTGTTCGCAACAACTTGTTTTTTCCTTTCAGTTTTCAGCATCGCCACGCCCAATTTAACCAAGTAGGGAAAAAAAAGAAAGAAAGAAAAGAAAACAAGAGAGAGGAGAGAAGGCGACGTGTTTGAAAATAATAAAATAATGGTCCCCGCGTTACGTTCCACGACGACCAAGGAGATGCTAGAATCGAACGGAGAAAGAGAGGTTTGCCTTGCGTTCCGGCCAGACAATGGTTTAACAATGGCCCATACACGACGTCCTATTGTGCCGGTGTACCCCATAAAATACTCATCGCCTTTTATCGTTGTTTTCCTAGCCAGCCAATAAGAGGAGCTCTGCCTGCCAGGATCGCGAGCCCCGGCCAACTAATAACGGCTTAACCTCCAACGGAAACATTGAATGGGAATCGTTTTTTAAGCTGCTCCACCTCCTTCGAAACTACCTCCCTTCGCGAGCCCGGCTATCTCTCTCCCTTTCCTTTCTTCGATTTCCGTCTCTGTTCCTCGACAAACTGTTCGAACATCGGGGAGATTAAACCTTCGAAAAGGTTGTCGAGGATATCCAGCCCGCGTTCTGTTGTTACAGTTGTTAGAGCTGTGCTTTTTTTCGTCTTTCATTTTTTTAATGCCCCGGCTTAGAAAAAGACCCTCCGCTCGCGTTCACCCTCCCCAACCCCCCCCCCACCTCTCTTCCTGGATCCGCTACATACATA